TGTTCATCTTGGAGTCAATAATGACTCCGAGATCCCTTTCTGCCTCTGTGCTTTCAAGAAGGGAACTCCCCAGCCTGTATGAATGCTGTGGATTCCTTCTCCCAAGGTGCAACACCTTGCATTAAAAACTTCTTAGGCCCTGGTTCGGATCTTCATTAAAATTAAAAAAGTCATCATCTGCTTCACCATCACTACTTGCTCCCACTCTTACTGGGATCAGTCTCTCTGCTTGCTTGTGATTGTTTCCTGTCTTGCAGCCAACTGGCTGCCCTGTTGACTTCTGCAAATGTACAGAAAATGCCAGTATCAACTAAGGAACTCTGGGACTTGTGGTTTTTAAGAGACCACATCTCATAGGAAGGCACACTACTCTCTGTCTCTCAAACAAGAAGTCCTAGAGTTTCAATACAGAAATATTGTTCCATGTAAGTCCTAGAGAGTGGCTGTGTCAGGAAAAACTCTGGGAAAGCTGGATTTCAATTTTTTAAAACTTTTAACTTATTCTTTAAAAAGTTAAAGTTAACCTTTTTTTTTAACTAGTTAAAGTTAAAAGTTGACAGTTGAAAAATTTAACTAGTTAAAGTTAAAAGTTAGCCATTTCTTTAACTTTTTAACTAGTTAATTAACTAGTTAATTCCCATGACTGTTGAAAAGTATTGGTGCTAGCACTGACCCTCAGTGTTCATACTCTGCTGTTTTCTTGTTGGCTGGTAGTGAGTTTGAATGAGCTGCTGGAGATTATGTTCATGATGAGAGCACATAGCTTGTGGTCAGGTATCATAGAGTGCAGTTTATATTTGAGGCTTTGATGCCATACTATATCATAGGCAGCTGGTCAATAAAGGCATGGTCAATAAAGACCATGCCTGTTTTCTGCCTCATTTCAGATCTGTTTTCTATGTCAGATGTAATGAATGTAACTTGGTTAGTGGTACACCACTTTTTTCTGAAAACCAGCCTGTTCTTTTGGGAGCTGGAGATCAGTGATGGTCTCTGTTCTGTTCAGGATTATGCACTCCACAAGTTTGTATGTAATGCAGGGTAGTGAGATGGGTCAGTAGCTCTTTGGATCCTCTGGTGGATTATCGGATTTCAGGATAGCAATGACATCAGCTTTTCTCCAGCTTTTTTGGAAGTCTGTTACTTTCTAGACATTTATATATGAATTTTTGAAGCCATGTTTTCATTGTGGTTCCAAGCTTGGTAACGAATTCTGGGAATATTTTGTCTGGTCCAGACATCTTGCCAATCTTGATCACTTCAATGCCCGTGTCAAATTTATTGTCAGAGGTGGGGCCA